TAATGCTTGTTACCATTCAGTCCAGAACCTTTTGTCTTCTCGTCTGCTGTCTAAAAACATAGAAATTAGAATATACAGAACTATAATTTTGTCTGTGTTTCTGTGTAGGTGTGAAACTTGGTCTCTGACATTAAGGGAGGAACATAGACTGAGGGTGTTTGAGAACAGGGTGTTGAGGAGAATATTTAGAACGAAGAGAGCTGAAGTGACAGGAGGTTGGAGAAAACTGCACAATGAGGAGCTTCATAACTTGTACTCTTTACCAAGTATAATTAGAATGATCAAGTCAAGAAGGATTAGATGGACAGGGCATATAGCATGAATGGGGATAAGAGGAATATATATAGGATATTGGTGGCAAAGCCAGAAGGAAAGAGACCACAGGGAAGACTAAGGCGTAGGTGGGTGAACAATATTTAGATGGATCTTAGAGAGACAGGATGGGATGGTATGGAATGGATCTATCTGGCTCAGGATAGGAATCAGTGGAGGGCTCTTGTGGATACGGTAATGAACCTTCGGGTTCCACAAAATGCTGGGAAGTTCTACAGTAGCTGCACAATTGGCGTCTTCTCAAGAAGGGCTCAGCTCCATGAATGAGTGAGGAAAGTAAGCTAAAAGACGTAAAAGTAACTTTTGATTTATAAGTGTAATGAAGACCAGTCAGGTAAATACGATCAGAGTCAATTCCTGACATGTCCTGTATATAAAATAGGGCTGTATCTCGGGCAACCGACAAAGCCCAGAGTAGCAGTTTCCCTGAAGAAAATGAAGCATTTGTAAGTTAATCAAATTCAGTTACTTTTAGATGTCAGGCCTGCACCAACATTCGCGTGAAGAATAAAGGTACAAAGGATCATACTTGTATAAGATTACAAAAATTTGGCCACAGAGTCTGAACCATACGCACGCGAGGCGTTAGATGGACCGCCATTTTGTGCCAATGAACGTGAAAATGTTCAGTACAGAGCTGTAGAACATGTCTCATGGTTCCGAGACAATAATTCGCAAACCTTTGACTCTAATCATAAAATTCTCTTGTGCTGAAAACGTTAGATGTCTACAAATGTTGCTGAAATTATTATTCATGTTTACATAAGCACTAACTTAGAAAACACCAGGAAATTTGAGAGCAGAATTTTCATTTGACAAATTTAAGCAAGAAAGAAAACAAGAGTCGTGATATTTCGAATGATGTTATCGATATAAACGATAATTTCTGAAGATGGAAGCAGTAAGTTCTTCGAAAGCATCAGCAACTTCTATCAGACTATTAGTCGCGGAACATGGTCAGGGAAGTGAGATTCGCAAACCTCACAGCTCCGAAAGACTGGCAAGCGAGCGCTGGAACGCGCACAATATGGACGCTTCTGCTATATTGGCATATCTTGCAGAATCGCACGGCTGTTCGGCCTGATGTTCCCGTACTTAGCTTCCATAGCGTGTGCACATTCAGAAACGCTAGATGCATAGACCAAATCGACCACCACGGGCTGCACTGCCGGAGTTCGATTCCTAACAGTGCAACATTTTTATTTTCTCCACAGTAATAAGACCGACTGTGGGGCCCACCCAGTCTCCTAAATGAGTGGGTACAGGAGGTTCGTTCCCCGGAGAGGTAAAGCGGCAGGGGCGTGAAGCTGACCACTCACCTACATCTAGTAACGAGGTCAAGAAAAATGGAGCTATACCTCCACACCCCCAAATGTCTTCATAGCATAATTTTTTTTCTTTGGCGCTACAGCCCCAATTTTGGGCCTTGGTCTACCTCCATGAAACCTTCGTTTCACTTCGGTTTACTATCTATTTGACAATCGGCAGGACTCCTTGGGCGGGTGATCAGCTCGTCGCAAGGCCTCTACCTGTACACAAACAGAAAAACGCACATACACACAAAAAAACTAAACATCCATGCCCTAAGTGGGATTAGAACCCACGATCCCGGCTTCCGAGCGAGCGAAGACAGTGCATGCCTTACACCGTTCGGCTACCGTGACCGGCATTCATAGCATAATGCTTAATTATTAAGCACAAGGAGAGCTTTGCCCTCTTGCTGGGGAATTACCTACTTTATGTCGTCATTCACGAGGAAGTTAAGGCACGAGAAAACAGGCTGACCAATAGCTGTGAGTATTGACCAATCGTGACACAGGACTCCACGGCCAACTTTGCAGTCAGATATCTGTTATCTACAGGAATGTGATGTGAGCTGTTCGAGTGCCGTAGTGTTCAGTTGCCCTGCGGAGCTGCGGAGACTGCAGTTTGTCAACGGCTGGGAATTGGTACGTACATACGCTTCAGATATTTGTAGTGGCTTTTGCATGTATAAAATTGATTTATTAATTACTACGTAATATTGATAATTATAAATCGAAATCAATGTCAAATACATAAACTGCATGAAAATGGTTGCCAAACTTAATGGCTATCGGAGCCGCAAATAGTTTTTCAGAAGTTCGGGAGCTGCAAAGAGAAGCGAACTGGATGCATTAGGTGGGTTGCGTTCAAGTGTACAAAGGGACTCGTGAGACGTGGCGGGTGTTAGGCTTTTGTTCGGTCTTAAATAATGCGAACCTATATGTAAGGCTTTTATTATGTTTTAAAAAATGAATAATGAAATAATATAAACCATTTGGTGTAACATGTAGCAATGAGAACTATATTTGTTGGATAGGATATGCCTTACTTATTTCAGTCTAATGGGGCTATCGTCAGATTACACGCAGTCACCTCTTCAAGAAATAAGCCTCTGATTGTGGCCCTTATACAACAGAAACATGTGAGACATATTTTATGTAGTAAATAACATTTTTATCTACTACGTATTATACTTAATGTCTTTTTAGCCCACTTTCGTTGAAAATGTAAAAAGCTATCCCTGTAACAGGCCGTGAAGGCTCATAAGGTTGTTAGACGTCTAGGAGTTTACTTTCGTTATTAAAAAAAATAAAAGGAGGCTTATGAGATCACCTATAGGGAAAATTTTAAAACAATTGACGTGTTAACGGCACCGCGCTTCACAGCTACTGGAGCATCGACGGCCGCTAAGCATACGCGAATTTTTCGGTGACTCAGCATGCTTGACGGCCGGTAACGTTTGAACGAAGAAAAATAATGAACTAGTAGACCTCTACACAGTATTATGTTTCACGGTGAGCAGTGTGGTTCATGCGTAGGAGTTTGTTTGTGATTTGTCAGCAGTGGGCAGCAGTTATCAGGTCCATTAGGCATTTGTTTTCAGTTAGAGATAGTAAGCAGTGTGGCACGACATGGTTCGCGATACTAAAGAGCAACACGCATTTCTGTGTAACACCTATGTGAAATACGGATCTTCTGGAAAGTGTTAGCGAAAATTTCGATATAAATTTCGTTATGAAAGAGTGCCCAGCAGACAAACAATTCATAATTTGGCGAATAAACTTAGAACAGTGGGAAGACAAGAAAACGAAACATAAGCGTCGAGTGCTTACTGAGCAGAAGTGATCCTTCTGATTTCTTCATCTGGGTTTGTGCTAGGGACAAAGCTTACAACAGTAACCCTCGAACGGAAGAAGGACCGAAAGAAATTTGTAGGGAAATTTCAGATATTCCCACAGAGAATCTTCAGAAGGTAAATCAAAACCCCATGCGCCGGTACGAGGAATGCCTGCGTGTAGAGGGACATCGTTTTCAGTGCCTCCTGTGAGATGTGTACAAACGTAAGAACTCCCCTTCATTCCAGATGTTATCGGCATGCTGAGTCATCCGCAAAATTCGCGTGCTCTCCGTTGCCGGCGGTGCACCAGTCGCGGCGAAGCGCGGAGCCGTGAACGCGTCAAGTTCGTTAGAAACCACTCTGTATATCACACTAAGTTTCAGAATTACTGGGTTTTCGGACTCTGTTCATCGTCGGTATTCCAGAAACTAGACAACAACGTTTCGGAAACTGTATGTTTCCCTCCTCAGGTGAGAGGGCGAAGACTCCTGTTCTGTTGGGTCCCTTAGAAAGAGCTAACGTTAATGAATCAGCTGGCCTGGATTACGTGGAGGAGAGAAATTTCTTGCCCCTACCGGAACTCGAACTCCAACCCCTCAGTCGTTCAGCTCGTAGTCAGTCGCTATACCAACTGCGCTATCCCGACTCCTGGAATGAAGGGAGTGCCATATGTTTACTGTGACGGCTGTGGTGACATGTTTTATGATGCAGGTTGGAACAGAAATGGCGTCGGCTGACGGTCACAGAGTTATCAACTTGCTAGAGTGCCCGGCATGTCACCAGACGATGGTACCCCCAGTTTTCTTGTGTGAGTCGGGTCACAATGTATGTTCCAGGTAAGTCAGTGTCGTCACAGCACGTTTTTCCTTCACTGTTCTTATATTTAAACCTTCAGCGCTTTGCAGCACAATGGTAACTTCTTCGAGCGGATTCCTTCGTGAGAGGCTTGTAGCCTCGCGGTTCATTATCAGCGTGTTCCCAGAAAATCAACACTGACTCCATCTTTTGCTATATGAGTCCACCGCAGCATCCGATTTAATATTACCCTCTCATCTACGCCTAGGTCTTGCAAGTGGTCTCTTCCTTCCACGTTTTGTGACTTTACTTTTGTATTAATTTCTCATGTCTAGCATGCGCGCTACATGACATCCATCTAATCGCCCTTGATATCATACTCCTAAAAATTGTAGGATTTTCCCTCTCCGGGCATCTACCAGTCCAAATCCGTTCCTTCATATGCAACCCTCCGTCCGCATCCTGTTTCCAGATCTGCATTAGCGCCCCTTTCCAAGGACCACGCTAGTTATCCTTGTCATCTGGTTCACTGCGTTCTGTGGGCGAGCCACTGGAGGCTGACCTTCAGGTGTTCCCATACAAACGCGAGTCTCAGCAGGCGGATTGTTCTGCTTGCTAACTGCTTAATTCTAGTTTCTTCTTTGGCTTATTCTTCTATCCTGAAGATGGAGGCGACATGTTCCTCCGAATATCAGTTGACTTTCAACGGACTACACTGCGTTATGTCCCACAAGATAGAAATCACCCTAATAGGTATTTAGGATTTGACCCACTCTTCCTCAATTATTAGGCTTTCGTTGCTTACTTTCCTTGCCGAATATTATGAGCATCATAACATCGAGTTACACCAGGAAAACTTAAAGGAAATTGATCAGTAGGAAGACCAGGGCGTGAATGGGAGAGTGTGGCCTGTATTCCTCTGGCTCAAGATAAGGACCAGTGGCGGGTTCCAGTGGAAAAGGTAATGAACTGTCGGATTCCATACAATCTGGGCTATTTCCTGATTAGCCGAACAACTGTTTGTTTCTCAAGAAGAGGTCTTCTCTAACTTCATGGAGGTGAGCCCTTCTTGAAGAGCCTTCAGTTGTGCAGCTACCCAGGAGCTTCCCAACACATCATGGAACCCGAAGTTTCATTACCGTGTTCACAAGAGCCCTCCACTGGTCCATATCCTGAGCCAGATCAATCCATACCACCCCGTTGTATATCTCTAAGATCCATTTTAATATTGTCCACCGACCTACGTCTTGGTCTTCCTAGTGGTCTCTTTCCATCTGGCTTTCCCACCAATACCTATATGCATTGCTCTTCGGCTCTGTTCATGTTACATGCCCTGCCCATCTCATCCTTCTTCACTTGATCATTCTAATTATACTTGGCAAAGCATACGAGAAGCTCTTCTCTAGGGAATTAATTAATTCGAAAAGTACAAATTATGAAGCTTCTCATGATGTAGACAACCACAGTGTTGAGCATGTTCCAGGAGAATGACAGACACAACTGGTGTACAAAAAAGGTAAACCTATCCCTGGAATAGGTCGTGGAGGCCCACAGGGCTGTGAGACATCGAGGCTCGCACATTTTCTGGACAATCTGCTCACAGATGGCGGTGATGTTAGCCTTACGTTCCGGCCGCCCTTTACCCACAAGAACATTCTTAGCACTCATTTCTGTAAATTCATATCTATGGATATTTCGCAGGAGATGGAAGTGTTAGGTAGCCATTAGTGATGTGCTGCGTCATCGTCAGTTAGTGACGCAGATCGTTACGTCATCATTATAATTTAAACATACTCCTCATATACATATATATATACGCCCGTGGGAAGTGAAAGCATTCTTACACAGGAATTTTCTTCCGCAAACTTGCCTACAGAAGGCACGACGTACCCGGGTTTGTGGAGTGGATAGACTTTACATAACAGCAATGATGTTGTTAACCTCTGGCGAGCCGCTTAGCACCTCTCAAGCCCCCAAAACAAAATATTATGTTCCAGATGTAGGGGCCAGAGGCCGAACTGCCCATATTGCGACAGTCGCGTCACCGAAAACAGAAATCGCCTGGCCGAAACTTTCGCCGAGAAGTTACCATACTCCTGCGTGAACCAGAATGTGGGTTGCAGACAGAAGTTCTTACTGCGTGACCTGGCATTTCATGAGGCAGCCTGCCCCCACCGTCTGTACTGTTGTGTTCCGTGCAGACCTCGCTGCAAGTGGAGGGGCCGTAAGTTCCAGGTGAGGAGGCATCAGGACTTCCCTCTATTGCGGGAGTTCCATTTACAATTCGGACCTGCCATGACTTGTCATCTTCTAACAGAACAAGGGGCCAAGTTTTACATTTGTTTTATACTCTAATTGTTTCTGTATCCATTAACAACAAACCACTCGTATAATACGTAACAATATAATATTTATTATTATAATACCACGACAAGTTTCAATTCCATACTCCATCATCAGGTGGTCATAATTTACAAAATATGGTGAAAGTAAAATTGCCGCTGTGCTTAACTAAATAAGGACTATGCCATGAAGATGACGTATGGGGGAGTGGATGTATAGATCCACGCATTCTTGACCTCGGCTGTAGTTTGAGGTGAATGGTCAGCTTCAAGTCTCGGCCGCTTTATTCCCGCGGAAAGAACCCTCGGTGCACATTGGATCAGAGGCTGGGTGGGGTCCAGAGCCGGTCTGGAAGGCGTGAAGAGAAAAATCTTGCCCCTACCGAGACTTGAACTCGACCCCCTCCCTAATTTACAAATAAAAAGTTGTAATTATATGAAAACTCACTGGGAATTGGATCGAATTTTACAACTTAAGTGTTTATATCTTTAACCTAACCTAACTTATATGGCATTTGTTGTTAATATTATATAAAATTAAAATTGCAATTTTTAAGTTAATGTGGTTTTTATATATTGCAGTTGTTACATCATTGATGTAAGCATTTAACAAGCATATATTGATTGCATCAGACGTACTTACAATATGTGGTTACATCTCGCTGTGCCTTTTTTTTAACTTCTGGTTTTATTTGTAAACTGCGACCACCTGAAGATCGTCTAAGGGCGAAGGCACACCAAAGAAACTGGCAACGCAACGCAACCGCATTTTCCAGAAATGTCGCCGATTTCAAGTAGGCAACTGGTTTCCAGATTATCAGGCTCACACTGAAGAAACATGTTTGATTAGTTGCTCATATCATCTGGCGTAATGCATGATTATATTTTTTAATTTCGTGCACTTACCTTCTGCAGTGGAAGATAATAGTACTGATCCTGTCATAATGTGGTGGTAGTCGAGACGGCGTGAGGGGAGAGAACGACGACCATAAGGAAAATACTGGAATGTTAGTTAATTTGTTTTAAGTAAGGTCAATTTGATCAGGAAATGTTGCGTTAACATGCAATACGAAATTTTGACATGCAGTGCAACAAATTTAGCAAGATAGGNAAAAATAAAGCTATCCCTGTACCAGGCCGTTAAGGCCCATAGGGTTGTGAGACGTTGAGGGTCCCACATTATCTAGACAATCGGCTCAAAGGTGGCGGTAAGGTTGTCAGCCTTAAGCGCCGGCCGGGCTTTACTCCCCAGGAAAAGTATTAAATTAATTCTTGGTACTCATTTCTGTTAAACCCCAGGGCCATAGTGCGGCCGGAAGGATTAGGTCAATTAAAAAATCCAATGACCTCGTCGGGACTTGAATCCGGGACCTTCCGGCATGTGGCATAGCCCCTCAACCAACTACGCTACCGCGTGCCCTCTTTATATATATTGTGACAAATTAAGATTTCAAAATACAGTAAATACAGATTTACATTTCCAAAATACCAAAGACGACGTCTTCACAATTTAAAATCATTTAATTAAATATTTGTGTAACAGTGTACATTGCAATATATTACCATGAAATTAGTGTAATGTAATTTATATGGAATGTCACGTGGCCATATAGATGTCCGCGGAATTTCTTGTGGGTGAGCAAGAGCGCAAGACAGTTATCTCAGGATCTTGTGACTTGATATTAAAATATTGGCTCAGGCATCAATTTCACTACTTTAAAGTTTATTATTACATGTTCTGTAAAAATCGAGTTTATAATAGTGTAACATGTTGCGGAACGGAGACCCCCTCCCTACCCAGCAGCAACGTGGCGACTCAGGCCACAGGTGCGTGGCGGTAACGAAGCGCTCCCTCCCACTCCCCTCCGCGGTGACGTAACGCGCCACGCTAACGTAACCATAATCAACGTCCTACTGTGACGTGGCACTCATTACGCCACAGGCAAGCACTGCAGCTATATAAGTGGATGCACAGTGCGTATCGATCAGTTCGAGTTCGAGTTCCAGTGTGGCTACCGCCGAAGACATTCCGAGTTATAAAG